AGTATATATATATATAATATATATATATATATATATATATATATATATATATATATATAAAATGTATAAAAATGCGTTTGTTGATGATAAAAGTTTTCCTACTTTCCTCTCTTTTTGATCTTGTCCTTTTCTTCTCTGCGTATACTTTTGAAGATTTTCATATGCAAGTTTTTTTAAATTCTACTTTTCAAAATATTGAGAAAAATTATGTGAATGGAGAAGAGGAAAAGTATTAAAAGAAAGGAAAAATTAACAAATTATTATAACATTGTGTAGGTTCAAATGTTAATCAAGATAAATTAAAAATTTAATCTGATTGTTCCTCAATCAAAAAAAAAAATGTGTTTATAACGTTAACAATATAATATTTGCTCTAATGAAAAATTTTATTAGTAACGTACATATTAAGCGTTTGTTTTATTTTATTAAAAAAATTAGTTTGGATATTTTTTTTCATAGTTCAAAAATAACTTTTTTGCTGATAATTCCGTAATAATATCTGAGAAATATAAGGATTAAGGAAAAATCCTCAATGAGTTCAAAGATGCATAATATTATCTTGAACCACGTATTTGTGTAAAGACAGAACATTTATGAAATTAATTTATATCAGAAATTTTAATTTTGTTATATCTTTAAAAATCCTATGTAATATATAACATTATACACGTACATATACACATATACGCAAGTACACAACAGCAACATATAAAACATATTTCACCAAGTGCGTTCTGTATTCAATTTCATTATAATCTCCCGTTTGTATTTTATCTCCACTGAAAAAGCCTTAAAACGCGTGCGCGTTATACAACGTCGACACCACTTTTGTTGAAATATAAATGAAATCACAGGGAAATAGGGATGAGGGATTAAAAAAGGAATCAAGTCACAACAGTGATCGGTGCATTATATTTTCCTTCACCCAGGGGTGCGTGCCAGTCTCGCAAGATGAGCAACTAAAACCGGAAAAACTGGTGTGATTTTGTGCGATTCGTACGATAATGTTACTTAAATATTAAGAACAGACACCGAAGAGTGGAAACACATGCGTGTCGGTGATTCAATCATAATATATATGTAATATATATTATATATACATGTATATAAATATATATATACGTATATATATATATATATATGTATATATATATATATGTATGTATGTATATATAGTTATATATAATTAATTTACGAAAAAAAAGGAAGAAAAGAAGAAAGAATTCCTCCACAGTCCTTTATTATTTAATATTGAAGTGAACAAAATGAGAAGTACTTGTATTTCTGGTGACCTAGATCGCATTGATCATAAAAAGACAAAATAAATGTATCCTCATTTTTAGGTCACAACTACTCAATTCGTTTCCTTCATTAACCAATGGACCTCTCGTTTCAGCCATTTTTATCTTCATCGTCATTTTCAATGGCATCTAGGAATAGTTTGCCGACAAAATGTATGTGTATAATTCACTATCAAGATTCGCGTTAACATATCTACGAAGTTTCATCGGTTCGAAAGCCTTTTATAGAAATATTAAGGCATACGAATCGCAACAAAGAGCTCTTACAACTATTTTACTTCACTTGCGATCGTTCTGATAGCTGTTATCGTTATTGTGAACATAAAATTAAAATTTAGATTTACGGCGAAAATGTTCTCACTTTGTAAAGATGCAAAAAAAAAAGAGAAAGAGGAATCATGACAAAAGTCCTTTTGTAAATGGTGATATAGAACTTATTCAAACAACATCCCTATTTAAATGCTTAAACAAGTTATTGCTCGTTTCATCGATCATTGACAATTAGTGTTTAAGTCTAAGTTAAAAAAATATATTCCAATATTTAATATTAATTTTATATTCGTGTCGCAAGTTATACATAGTCTAAACTATAATTTTATTGTTCAAAGTTCTTTACAGCAAGCGCCAGGAGCCGATATTTGAGTTAAAAAAGATAAAATAAAAAAGTTAGTATTGTATTTAAAAAATAACTAAAGCCTTAAATTTATCAAAAAAATGCATTCTAATTTCTTTAAGAGTTGTTTCTTGAGATATTTGTTCCTCGCAAATAAAGTAGTGGAAATTCTATATCATTCTTGTTCTCAATCTTTTCTTCGATATTACACAAAAAATATTAAAATGCGATATTTATAAAACTCCGTCGTGACGTGGATAAGACATTATTTATTTTTGATGTTTATCTTTAAAAAATAATTCCAATAAATGTATTTATTCATTCGGCTAACAAAGAAATTTTTGCTACATGTTTCTTTATCCTGTATTTGAGATTGTATGATTATTATTTCTATTTTATGTGAGATATTTTCCGCCATATTTCAAAGGCATATTTTATTTATCATGCATGACGAAGCGATACAGTTTGTATAAAGTGTTATTAAGTTAATAAATTGTTCCCATACATTAAAAAGTCAATGAATTATTACTTATTTTACAAGAATAATAATTTTTTTTTCTCAAAAAAGTTTTTTTAAATATCATATAACTTTTAATTTAAATCTAATGTTATTACTATTTTGCATAATGATAGGATTTTAAATTGAAATATTATTACATTTTGTACAAATTTTAAATATATTCATATATCTCGTTAATATAAATAATTATATAAATAATATAAAAATAATATATTTTAAAATTAATATACTACTAGTAGTAAAAATTAATGATTTAAATTTTCTACTTTTCTATTAAAATTTTTAAACATGTTATGTATATAAAATAATATAAAAATTTTAATTAATATAATAAATAAAAATTAAAATTTTTAAATAATAATATTTCTACTAAATTTTATAATTTGTACTAATTATGTATTAATATAAATATATATTTATTCTCCAATTTTATTCTTACTTCATTTTAATAATAAAAGTTTCTTTTTTAATAAAAGGTAAGAGCCTTTTTTTTAAAAAATCTTACATTAAATACATAAAAATTTATGTAAAAAATATTGTATTTTCATGCAATTTTGTCCGGAAAATTTAATGTTTTATAAATTTTTTGCATGTTTTTATAGTATACAACCTTCTGGAATAATCTTAAAATGTAAACATACTTCTTGTAATAATTTTTTAATATCCTTGCCTGATTCTCTGAACTCTGTAAATCCATATTTATTATAGTATATATTGATTTTTTTTTTTTTTAATAAAAAAAATTAAAATTTTTTTTTGATAATTTGCTTTAAATAAATGCATTTTGAAGTTGATTTAAAGAAACTTACCCCATTTATTATAACAGTTGGTATGAAAGAAATTCTTGGTATTAATACATTTGTTAATTTTCCATATTCAGCCAAAAGTTTTTTACCTTTTTCTTCATTATAACACTTAAGTATAGGATTATAGTCTATATTCATTTTTTTTGCACAGGTTTCCATAATCTTTTTTGGTATCATGTTATTTTTAATCATACAAGATAGATATTCTAATTTAATGGAAGAATTCTTCAAAATATCTATAGAACATGCATGAATAATATTTGCTGCACATTCAATAGGTCCATGTTGACATTTAAATTCATATCCATCTTCTGTTTTCAATGTCTATAAGAAATTTGATTAATTTAAATGAATAATTCTAAATATATATTTATTTTCATCTCTAAATTAAAAATAATCATTTAATTTAATTCAAATATATTTGAAAATATTTAAATAAGCAAGATATACTAATCTATTGTTATTATTAAAATGAAAAATATATTGGAATAACATATTATGATAGAATATTATTAGAATTATTTTATTATAATATGTTATATTAGTATTATAGTATACTTATGCTATACTAATGTAATAATAATACATAATTTTTAAGAAATATATTATTTAAAATTTTCTTTTTTTTTATATAAAGTTTCTTACCATAGCTTTTCCATATGGTATAAATTCTATTTGTACATTATCTGGAATTCTATGATATGTTGGTAATAACTGTTTTATAAAAAAACTGCGTGAATCTGGACATAGAGCTTCATAATAAATAGCTATGTGTACTTTTTGTGCATTTCCCTCATCTTTTTGGCTTAACGTTACTGGTTGATTGTCCTGAAGCTGTGCTATACAAAACTTAGCAGATATCCAAGAAAATCGAGAAAGTTATATAATTATTTTTATTTTTATTTTTAAGCCATTGACATGAAAATTAAATATTTATATATATAAAAATAACACTTTATGTTTATAATATTTATTTCATTAATTTTAATATATAATTTTATTAATTATATAATTATTAATTATGAAAACTATTTGTACTAATATAAATTTTATATATTAATTGATTACTTATTTAATATATATAATTTATAATTATATAATAATAATAATTTATATAGCATTTAAAATTGAAAATTATAAGAATTATTAAATTTTTAAATTAATTTTAAATTAAAATGAACATACTAGTAAAATAATTAATTAATTATATATTAATTAAAAGTAAAAATATCTTAAAAAATCAATTTCACATTTTATAACATTATGAACATATGGATTTTTACCTTTTATGCCAGATTTTCCTTGTGTATAATTTAACCATATTTTCGAGGATTGCCAAAAAAGTAAAACTGACAAAATAATCAATAATATCTTCCATCGAAAAATTCCTAATCCCATTATCCGTAATTATAAAAATAAAAATTAAAATGATGATATAAAAATATAAAATTTTACTTGTGATAAAAGTTTAATGCAAGAATTTATGGTGTCGCATCACAATAAACATGGAAGTAAATTATTTTGTACTACTCTTCAACTTGAGTTATTATATATTTTATTATAGAAATAAAAAATATAATTGATATATGTAAAATAAAATTTGTTTATATATATTACCAATTAAATATTACTAATATATTTTAAAATTTTTTAAAATATTTTCAATTTTTTTTAATTTAATAATAATAAAAATATATATTAACAATTTAATAAAGAATCAAATTTTAATTATTTTTATAATGTTTAAAATAATAATTTGCAAATTATATGTACTATTAAATTTATAATAATCATACAATTTAAAATTATGTATAAAGTATAAAAAAACTTGGACAACTGATAACCTCAAATGTATCATTGGTTGATTAAAATTATATCTGAATATCATGGAGTGCAAGAAACAAAAAATATATTATCCTATAATTATAATATAAATATATAAATAATATCATATATGAAAAAAGTTGGTATTTAAAATTTTTTAAGACAATGTAAATTTTTCTAGATTTTATATATATATTTACATTATTTTTTATTAAATATATATAAATATTTGGTACAATAGAAATTGTAATTAACTAAGATTAAAAAATATTTATTATTATTATATATTATTTATTTATTATTTTTTATTATAATTAAATATAATATCAATTTTAGTTATTTTCCAATATGTTCAAGTTCTTCTAAAAATGTTTTGCATTTTCCTTTAAGTATCTTAATTGCTTCTACAAATAATACAGATGGTAATAATGTTCCCACTGATTCAATAGTAACTATAAAAGAAAAAAAAAACAATGTTAATATATACATAATATTTAAATAAATAATATTTTTAAAATAACAATATTTTAACTTACAGATAATATGATTTCTTATTCTACTTAATCGTATACATCCTTTAAGATCCTCATGCTGAAACACATTTCTAGAACAACTATCATAGCGAGGATTTTTTACTCTTGCTTCACGAGAATCTGGATCACCAGGTTTATTCTCAATTACTTCTATAACACCTATGCTAAAGCAATTTTTTAAACGATCTGCCATTTCTCCTTTTACTGGTTTTATTATTTGTATATCTGGTAATAATCTGTATGATGCTGTAGCTAAAAAAAATATATATAATATTAAATCCAAAAACATCAATTATAAAATAATTATATTATAAAACTTGATAATATAATACTTTAGTATCTATTAAACATCTAAAATTAAATATCTAATATTTAACGTACCTACAGGAGAAAATTTAGCATGATCTTTCCCAATTCCTTTGACTGCATGCATAAAAGCATGAATTTCTTGTCCTGGACGCATTTTACATATTAAAATATCATTTTCTAAAACACCTAATTGTTCTGTTCCTCGAGGATAGAGTTCTGCTTGATGTCCAATAGGAACCCATTTAATATCTCTACTATATACTATAAGTAAAATTATTTTTCTTTTTAAATTTTTATCATTTTTTTTAACTATATTAAATATTTACCATTGCTATTTCTATACATATCATTTGTCCTTCGAGAATCTTTAGGTGCTTGAGAATTCCAAGTACATGATATTTTAAGTTCATATCTTAATGTATCTTGATCACTAACTTCATCTTGATCTTTAGCAGTAGAAGAAGGATATTCAAATAATCTTGGATCAGCTCGAAGTGGTATTAAACCCAATCTTTAATAATAATATATGTTATTTTTAAACAAAAAGATAATTTTAAATAAAAAATTACCTATGAGCTAAAACTTCATCTTGAATCAAACTTGTATTATTCACAATATAAACTTTTTCTATAGCCATGGTTGGTACTTCACTTAAAAGAACTCTACGAAATGCATTAGCAAATCCAACAGGATAACCTATTAAATCAAATTCTAATTCTCTATTATCTTCAGATTCTCTTATAACTTGTATTTTGAATTCCTAAAAATGTAAATCAATATATTATACAATAATTACATAATTTGAAAATAATGAGAAATTAAATGAAAAAATAAAAAATTATAATATTTTCTATTCAAATTAAAAAGCGTACTTTTTTAAAATTATGTAAGTTCCAATCCTGTTGAGGTTGATAATGTGTATATTCAGAAGCCTAAAAAATAAAATTATCATTAATAATTATTTATTTTAATTATAATATTGTATATTATTTAAAATACTTACATTTGGTATACCATATTCTTCAAGAATAACACGAGATTTTCGAATTTCTTCCATTATTCACTATTTGTTATAATTTGAGATTATATTTGAACATATAGTATAACCATATATTCCAAAGTTTGTGTTCCTCAATGTATCAAATGCTGCTCAAATATATATTATTGTTATAAGTATTAATTTATATACATTATTTAATAATATATTTATTAATTTATTTAATAATATAAAAAAAGTTATTACTTATAAAATATTAATACGAATATAATTTAATTTTGAAAATATAAATTTGTAAAATAAGGTCATATTTTATATTTAGAATATATAAATATATTTTTTCTTTTTTTTAGTTATATAGTTTGTAATTTACAAAAAATTATGAAAATTTATAATGTTAAACTAAAAATTTGTATAAGTATATATATATATATGTTATAGGAGAGAAAGAAAAGGATGATAAAAGAGAGGATCCTATATTAATATCTTAATAATTTAAAAATTTATTTATTTATTGTTCTGAATAAAATATAATTTGATAATTTTTTTTCATTAAAAAAATATTTATTATATTCGACAGACTTTCTTCGGTATATATTACTTAGACTTGTTCGTGCTTGATCGAACAATGCAATTAATTCATGTGCATCGTGATCAGCTAGTGTTTTTTGCTAATTCCGAAATTTGTTAACAAAGCCGTAACGAAAGGAAAATATTACTTAAAATTATTTTGAGAATTTCCAATTAATTCATGTTTTCACATTTAATTTTATATTATAATTTTATTAATATAATATTCATAAATATAATAATATATATAATATAATAATACAAAAGTTAATAGAATTATCCACTTTATTTGGCAGTTTTAATATAATATTATAAAGTATATTATAAATTATAATATTATAAATATTCCAATGAATAATTTGATTAGATTTGATTCAAATTAATTTTAAAATTGTGAATTTTTTTTCTTTTAATAATATAATCACCAATTATCAATAATTGTGTCCTACTTCACAACACTATTAATTTATTAATTTTTTTCATAAATATATATATATTTTTTTAATCCAAAGCAGCAGCACCAGAAATGATTTCAATCAATTCTCTAGTAATTACAGCTTGTCGAGTACGATTGAATGTCAGAGTTAATTTATCTATCATCTCTCCTGCATTCTTACTAGCATTATCCATTGCAGTCATTCGACTTGATTGTTCACTACAAGCACCTTCTTTCATTGAATAAAATAATAAAGAAGCTAGAGAAAATTCTAAATAGCTTTGAATTACATTTTCATCCAAAGAATCATATATAGATAATTTTGGTGCACTGACTACTGCATTTTTATCAAAAAGAGGTAATTGATCAACACTATATGATACTACAGATTTGAATCTATTATAAACAATACGACCAGAACCAAAACTATACCTGTAAATATATATTTATTAAATTAAATGTATAATATTATAAATAATTATATATGAAATATACTAATTTGAAAATTAATTTGATATTTTAAAATAATATATATTGTAAATTAATAAGAATACATACCCACTGTTCATGATTTCAATTGCTACTTTAGCAGCATCATTAAATGTAGGTGGTTTACGACCAACTTCAGATGCAACAAATAATATATTATTAGCAAACAATCGTGACAAAATTGCTCGTGATTTTTCACCAACACATATAATTTTTGTATTTTCACGTTCTTTGGGATCTGCTAAAAGAGAATCCCTAATATTACGAGAAACTCCAGTGTGTACAGCACCACACAATCCACGATCACTTGTTATTGCTACTACAAGTTTTTTTTCATCTTCTGGTGGAGCTTGAATTTCAGCTTGTTCATAAAAGATTTTTGTACCAATACCAAGAGGTCTTGCTTGTTTTAAATCCCTTTCTGCTCTATTATATTTAGCAGCAGATACCATTTTCATTGATTGAGTAATTTTTTGAATATTTTTTACAGATTTTAATCTTATAGAAATGGCTTTAAGAGTTGCCATACCACGTTGATGTTGCTGTTGTTGTTGTACAGCAAGTTGCACAAGTGTTTTCATATGATTAGAAAACATTTTGGAATTGAATATTTCTGTAAATTTGTAAATTAAAAATATTATGTTTATCTTATATATAATATATATAGTAAAATTCTTATAAAATTATTCTACATTCAATATTTATAAAAAAACAACTTTAATAATATAAAAATCAAAACTAAATAATTAAAATAATTAAGTATATGTATTAATATGTAAAATAATTAAGTATTTATTCAGTATATAATTTATTTATTAAAACTATAAAAATTATTTTCTTAATTATTATATATTTTTTTAATATTCTTAAAAAATATTTAAAAATAAAATGATATATGATATATATAAAATGATATGATATATATAAAAATAATTTTTTTACACTTCAAAATTACTTAACTAAAAAAAATCTAAAAAAAATATATAATAAATAAAATAAATTATTATTGAAAAAAACTATTACATATTCTTATTACATATAAATTGTGATTTTTAACATAGTCTATCTACAAAATATAAATAATATAATTTTTTCAATTTAAATAAATTAAAAATAATAAAAAATAAAAACTATAAAATAAATAAAAAATATAAATATTAATAAAATATTAAAAAATGTCTAAAAGATCTACTGAAAAATTTTTAAAAAATTTAACTTACCAAAGTTTTTTAGAGATTGAAAAATAAAACAATAAATTACATAAGACAAATAGATATCTTAATAAAATTATAATTAAGAATAAAATAATAAAATATATTAAATATATATTTTTACCTTATTATTATTATATTTTTTAATTATATTTACTATACCATTATAATATAACTATATTAATATTGCAATATTAATATTACATTAATTACTAACATTAATTTTTTTAATATAATTTATTATATTATAAAGTAATAATTGTTGTTTTTAACAGTCATTTGTCTTACTAAATTTGAGAATAACTGTAGAATAAAAGTTGAATTTAAGATTAACAAAAATTAAAAAAAGGTAAGAAATGAAATAACAGATAATATTATATAATAATATTAGTAATAATAATATTGATTATTTTTTAATAAGAATTATCTTTTAGTAGGAAATATTATCTGATTTATATAATCACAATAAATACTTTAATTATTTTATAATTTTGGAATTAATTTTCTTTATTGAATATCTATTTTTTGTTATTCATTTTGTTATATAATAATTTATTAAAATAACTATTTTAAGTTTTATTTATTGTAATGAATTAAACTCACCGCACGATTATTACAATACGAAAAAATTATGTCAAACGAAATAGAAATGATTATAGGATGTGAAGTCACAGAAAGTGATATAGGTATCTATACATATATGCGTATAAGTTCTAGTAAAAACGATCGATAGATTCCAAGCGCAAAAATATCTTTTAGGATCTAGGGAATTTATTATATATTACTAGTTTATTACAAATTTATAAACTTTTTTTTCTTGATATCTTGTATTTATGATTTCAAATAAAATTTTGTTTCTAATTTACATTAATATTACTGAACAAATTCAAAAATCAAATTCGCATGATAGCATTTTATTTTTTGTATTCATTTCAATTTTGTAATTAAACAAAGAAGTAAATTGATAATTTTTTAAAAATTATATTCTTTGCTATTATAGATTAATGAAATAAGAATTCATATTATATTTGGATCATATAGTAATTCATTAGGTAATTATGATTTTTAAAAAATTTTTAAACAATACAAAAAAATATAATTTATTTTATTCATTTTTGTTATATAATTGTTTTATTTAATATAGAAATTTATCAATTGTTATCTTTTTTAACATTAATTATTATTAAAATTATTTATAAAACCACAAAATAAATTGTTTTAAAATATATAATCCATTCATTTTCATATATATAATATGACCATATGTTTATATATACATATTTGCATGTTAACAATATTTTCACAGTTTTAATTATATTATTAATGATATTTACAGATATGCTCAAAATTTAAATAAATTTTATAATTACATTAATCTGCTTTTTTACTTCCTCGTGTTTTCCATGCTACTAAAAGATTCCAAGAAAAAAACAAAGAAAAAGAATGAACTTGTGATGCTAAGAGAATAAATGCATACCATAACAATCCATATGGTAAACCCTAAAAATAATTTTTATAATTTTGATATTATATTAAAAATTTTTTTATTAAAAAACTTAATATTCTAATGATATAGAGTAATTTATTTATTTCCAATTATTTTAAATTTATACCTGCCAGAAATGAATTTCATCTGTTTTACCAATAGTTAAATATTTCCAAACATCCTTAAAATAATAAATAAGTGCATAAAGTAATGGACCATATCCTAATAGAATGATACCTATCATATATTGTTTTAATGTTTTAATTTTATTTTTTTTAATAGCAGATAATGCAAGGAAATTTAAAATTAAACTTGTACACCAGATATATTCCCACCATAAAGGCTATAATAAAGAAAGATATTAATTCAATATTTTATTAAAAATTATATTAAAAATTATATACCTGTGGTACTTGCAATTCCTCAATTTCCAAAATGAATATATCCAAATGATCTAAAATATCAGCTTGCAATTTGGCAAGCATAACAAAGAAAAGAAGATAATGAAAAAATATACAATATTTTAGTCTTGATTTATTTGTTGCACTAAAAAAAATACACATTTTAATTCTGATAAAAATATTTTATTTTTAATCATTCTTTCACTTTATTGATATTAATTTCTAAAATATTAATATCAAATAATTTTTAAAATGAAAAAAAAAATCTTATATATTATTTTTATTATATCTTAATTACCTGATTTGATAATGACTAGCAATTTTTTGTCTATGATTAAAATCACTTCCATCTGTACCCAAAGCTTGGGACAGTGTAACTTTTGAAGCCATATTTTGAAATTATTATGACTAAGATGTAAGAATTATGTATTAATTTTAATAATAAATGTTTATATATAAATAATTTTCAAGGTGCAATTTATAACAACGATAAACTATTCGGTATTTCATTACCAAGTATTTAACTATTTTTAAACTTTTAGAAGCTCTGTTAGTAATCCCATGGGTCACGGATCTGTACAAATGTGTCACTTTTATTAAGTCACGTTTTCATTTCACAAAAATTGAATATCGTTTCTGTTGATTTTCTTCTTATATTATTTTTATAAATAATATTTTTAATTACTATAATATATTATTTTTTATTTTTCAAAAATATATAAATTAATTATTTAAAAAATTGTATAATTATTTAATATATGGATAAATCAAACAAAATAAAGATTATCATTATAAATATTATTTTCAAATTTATTTAATTACATAATCATTTATTATATTTTTAAAAAATTTATAAAACAAATGATACAATTTGATTTTTTGCAAAATTATATTATATATTAATAATTTATGTATGTATGTTTATATATTATATAATAATTTATTTTTGTGACATTAAATTTTTAATTTTGCTTACATATTTGTATTATACATTAATTTTTGATTATGATAATAAGAGAAAAATGACAGCTGCACATAATAAATGCATTTTATACACATATATTCTATATCTATATAATTCCTATTTTAATAAATTTATGTTGTGTGTAAGTTTGAACACGTGTATGATAAAATGATATAATTTTAAATTTGAAACAATAATTAAAATTCATTTAAAATATTGCAGAATATTAAAACAATATAATCGTAAAATATATTTAAAAAATTTAAATTTATATTGTATAAAATTTTATACATAAAAATTTATGTACAAAACAATGTATATAAAACAATAATTTCTATTAATTATATTAATAGCAAATAATGAAATTATTTTATATAATTATGAAAATATTAATTTGACATATAATTTAAAATCAATTATCTAAAAATATATATTATTTTAAAAATTAATATATATATATGTAATATATATAATATTTATATAATATATTAAATAAATAAATTAATCATATAATATAAAGTGGAACATAAATTATTATATTATTAAATAAAAATAAATCTTTTTTGTTTTTATCAAAATGAGTTTTAATAAAGTAAAAGAATTTATAGAAGAAGGAGATGTGGTAATTTTATATTTAGGACCTAATAATATGCATTCTTTAGAAATCAAACCAAAAATATTCAATAAAAAAGGTAAAATGGTTGATAATATTTTTCAAACAATTTATGGAGCACTCAAAGTATTTTCTCTTGTGGGACAAAAATATGGAACTAAAATACAACTTTCTCGAGGATGGATATATGTGTTACAACCAACACCAGAACTTTGGACATTAACAGTTCCACATAGAACACAAATTATTTATAGTCCTGATATAAGTTTAATTATATATTTAATGGATTTAGCACCAGGAAGTATAATTATTGAAACAGGTTGAAACAAATATTATTGTTATTTATTTTCCAAATATTTGCTTGCTTTAATTCTAAAAATATTAAATTATATGATAAAATTTTGTTAACATTGTCTGTGATATATTAAGTTATATTAAAGTTTTTATTATTATCTTATCTATTATTATTTTTATATTTCATTATTTCATTAGGTACTGGAAGTGGATCTCTTTCTCATGCTCTTATTCGTGCAATTCGTCCCCATGGCCATCTTTATACATTTGATTTTCATGAAGAACGTGTAAATGTTGCTCAAGCAGAGTTTAAAAGACATGGACTTGATAAATTTGTAACTTCAAATTATAAAGATGTTTGTATGGAAGGATTTGGAAAACAATTAGAAAACAAAGTGGATGCAATTTTTTTAGATCTTCCATGTCCATGGTTAGCAATAGATCATGCAATATATACTTTAAAAAAATCAGGTAAATTAATATTATTTTAATATTTATTTTATAATGTTAATTTATTGATATGATATATAATGTTAATTTCTTAATATATTATTCAGTTATAAATAATTATTTATTATTAATTATAAATAAATGTTTTTAATTTTATTTTATTTTTAGGTGGAAAATTATGTTCTTTTTCTCCTTGCATTGAACAAGTTCAACGTACTTGTGCAAAATTGGTATCAAAAGGATTTATTGAACTCAATACATATGAATGTTTACAAAGAGAAGTAAATGTACAATATAGAAATCTTTCTATATTGGAATTGGAATGCTTAAAATATGAGGTATATATAATAAATACAATACATGAAATTAATATATATAGAATATAACATAAATGAAATTTTCATTTATTAAATTACTTTTCATTTAATTTTATATTATAATGTAAATAACATATTCTTTAGTTATATTTTATATTTTAAATAATATCAAACTTTAAAAATACTAATGTAAAAAATACTAATCTTTTTAAATTATGATTTAGCATAAAGATGAAGATATGGAGCAACAAAATAAAAATGAAAAACAAGAACAAAAATTGCTAACAGTAATGCATGCTCGTTCTTTACCTGGTCATACAGGATTTATTACAATTGCTACATTGCCTCCAGTGTATGCACGAAAATTAGAATTGAATTTAGAATCCAAAAATTAAAAAAATTTTAAATTGTTACAGAATAAAAAAAATTGTTTTACTATATATTATTAAAACTTATTTTTTTCCATATAATTTCAATCTTAAACAAAATAATATTTAGTAGATATTACGAATGATTTGTAATAAATTAAAGTGCAAAACAAATAAATATTTATCAAATTAATTTTTTACTTGTATTAATGATCTTATTAAAAATATTAAATATTTTATGTTTCTGTCTTGCTAGGATTCCAAGATAAATAATCAACTCGCGTGGCTGCTTGATATTCTTTTACCAAATATTCAACAACTTCTCTAGAGTTGTCCAATTCATTTAAATTATCTTCAAACATTTTTTCTTTGCGAAATTGTTCTAAGAATGCTTCTCGTTTTCGTAATTTATCATATTGTTGTAAGGCACGATCAAATAACTGAAATGTTTACATATGTTATAACTATAATATTTAATATTTAGCAATTATCTTATACATAAATATAATAATTATTAAACAATTTTGAAAACTTAATAATTAAAATTTAATAATTAAAATAATTCAGTGTTTTTAATATAAAAATATTTTTATATCTTACCGATGATATATTAGTATGATTAGCTAACATTAAACCAGATACTCTATGTGCTGTTTGGATATATGGCGATTTTCTTGAAAGAGCTACTTGTATACTAGCAGGACCCCAAGGTATAAATTGTGCAAGTTTTCTTTCTCTGATTCTTTGCAAAGATTTATGAACTTGAGTTGGATCAACTTCACCCTGGAACATATTTGTTAAATTATTATTTTATATATTTATAATAATTTAAATTAATTATAAATTATGTTTTTTATTAATTTAATATTAACTTTTATTCTGGATTTTAATATTTTAAATGAAACTTACTTGAATGATATTTAAAATGGATATATAACAATGAGATGCATTTCTATCTAATGCTGTAGAAACCATCATATTTTTTGGTTGTAATAAACGTCTCATTACATCTAATACAGAAGTTTTTCTTACGGAAACTCCCTATTAATTATTAATTAATCATGCATTAGAAATTAACTTGTTTAATCAAGAAAATTTTTCAAAATATTTTATTAAATATATCTTTTTCTAATTTTTAATTTTATTAAAAAATATTTATTTTAAAATAAAAAATTATGTATTTATGAAATACTTACTTCTTGATCTGTAGTAAGAGGAGTATAACCAGTCATAAGAAAATGTAATCTTGGTGTTGGTATTAATGGTGCAATTAAACCAACTAAATCATTGTTCATATAAGAAGGATACCTAATATTACATGTGATTAATTAAAAATCGAATTTTTAAAAATCAATTCAACTTTTGTTTCAAAACAAAATAAATATAAATGATACACTACCGAAGTGTGGTGGTACTAACAGACATTATTGTAGAAACAAGTTTATTAATTTGTGTAAAGCTAGGATTTTGAATATGAAGTCTATCTGATGCTATTCTATTAAGTGCTGTGTTATCTAAAACAACAACACAATCAGCACATTGTGTCAGCCTTTTTAAAGTTAATAAAGAATTATAGGGCTGTACTACTACATCACTGAAAAGAATTTTCTCATTATGTTTGTTGTTATTATAATGTTCTTAAATGTAATATTATTTTAATTATATAATATAATTTCACTATGCAATACCTTATTTCATCTTGATTTGGAAAAACACTATATGTTTCAATCAATTTTTTTGGAAATCTATCTGCAAGAGATTCAAGCATAAATGAACCCATACCTGAACCTGTTCCACCTGCAATAGAATGACATAAAACAAATCCCTGTAAATAAAAATAATATTATTATAAATCAATCAATTTAAATAAAATAACTGTACATACCTCTAAACTATCACTTCCATCTGCTTCTCTATCTAAAATATCAAAAATTTCTTCTTGTAATTTCTCTCCTTGATGATAACCAGATGCCCAATTATTTCCAGCACCACCTCCATGTTTTGATAAATAATATTCTCTGGATTATATAACTTGTAAAAAATAATATTTATAATAAATATACATTTTAATAAAAACATGAAATTAAATAATATTAAATAAATTTATAAAAATATAATAATAAATACTTTTGAATATGGTGAGTTCATAATTGTATGAATTACTCTAGGTTCTAAATCTAACAATACTGCTCTTGGTATATAATGTTCATCATCTGATTGATAAAAAAATACATCTTTTCTATCAGTTCCTTCTGTTGCATAATCTTCTAAAATACCTTCTGGACTAATACCATGTTCTGCGCATAATTTTTTCCAGAACTCAAATCCAACTGAAAATAATGATTATTTCATTTTCTTTGTTTTTCTAAAATAATATTAAAATATTATAATATATTTTATAAATATTTTCTTAAAACAGAACTTTAGTTTTCTATTTTTATAATATTACAATTTTAAATACTTTAATAAAAAAAATTAAATACATCAAAGATTATTTCATTAAAATAAATTAATGAAATAATAAATATTAGAAATAATTAAAAATATTTTATTTGATTACAATTATATATCGATAAAAAGAAATAAAATATTTTAATAAAATTATGGATCATATAATTACGTACTTTGATTCCCACATTGACCAAGTTGTAAAGTTATCATTTCACAAGGCATTTTAAATTTGTTATTTTATTCTTATTGAACAAATTGTATTTATTTAACTTTAATTTTTAGCGCGATGAACCGTCAATTTGACTATTTCACATATTACAAATATGTTTTTTACAAATATTTCATTAATATATATAATTATTTAAGTTATATAAATGCAAAATATATGTAAATATAGATAATAGAATTATATGCATATAAAGAATAATAATATTCGAGTTATTATAATTATATTACGTTGTAGATGGTGCTATGTTAAACTATGTAATGTCTTTGCTGTTTAAAACTTCAATCAATTTAAAATTGTAAGCAAAATTTTTATAAGTTAAATTTAAATTAAATAATATAGAAAAGAAGATTTTTTAAATTATTTTGTATAATTAATATTAGAGAAAAAGAGAAAAAAAGTAATTATTTTGTAAATATATTTAAAAAAATAATAAGTTTTATACTTAAAATAATACAAAAATAAATTATATATTAAATTAATCAAAATTATTTTTTTATTTTTATTCAATTATTATAATTACTTTAAATTATATATAATAAATTGCAGTTACAAATAATTACATGAAAATCAATTATTTCAAAAGCTATATCTGCATGATATATAATAGAAAGCATTGTAAATCATTTAAGCCAGTATATGCATTTATTTTTTTCTATCCAACCAACCTTTATGTTGTGACAATGTGTGCTTTCAATTTAACCTATTAAGATATAAAAATTAAATTTATTTTAAGTCTTCATATTCTTACATAAATTAAAATGTAAGTACTACATTACAATAAGTTATATTATTTAATATGGCATTACTTAATGATTATTTAATTTATAATTTTAATATATCATGGTTTTAATAATCTATAATTAATATAAAGAATAGAGATAATTTAAAAATATGATACAAAATTATTTTTTTTAAATTATTTTTCAGTATAATGAAAATAATTTTTCTATTTATTTTTTATATATCTTGATTTTTTAAAGAAAATATTTAAAAATATTAAAAAATTAGTTACTTACCTTACTAATATTTTAATTAATTGATACATATATATTTTAAATTAAATTATTTTTACCATAAATATGACTATGTTTTTAATAAAAATTTTCCTATAAATGATGATATTAACTTTTAATCAGATGTCTGGAAGTAAGTGTCGGAATTGTGGATCTACGGATATTGAGACAGATCCAGCTCGAGGAGATGCTGTCTGTACAGAATGTGGATTTGTATTAGAAGATCAACTTATTGTCAGTGAAACAGCTTTTAAAGAGACACCATCTGGTAATATGATGGTATTGGGTCAATTTGTTGCTAATGACAGTACTGGAGGAGCTACAGGATTTGGAGCAAGTATGTTATTATAAAAAACATAAGATTAAAATATTATTTGTTCTATATATATTATTTTTTTCTATATACATTTATTTATTTTTTATAAAATTAATTTTAGAAAGTTAAATTTAATAATTTTTATATTTATAGCATATCATGTCAATGGAAAGGAATCAAGAAAAATAACATTGCAAAATGCAAAAAAAGGAATAACTCATTTATGTATGCAATTACAGTATGTAAATTTTTTCTATTTTTTATAGAATATTTAATATTACTATATTTATTTTTTAATATTACTATATATATTTTAATATTACTATATTTTATTTTTTTTTTTATATAATTCATAAAATATTGTATATTCTGTATATTTTATTTTTTTTAATAGATTATCCAAACCAACCCAAACCAATCAATTATATTGATACATCTATGAATTTTTATAAATATTTTTTTTTTAATAGATTAAACCAACATTGTATTGATACATCTATGAATTTTTATAAAATGGCATTGAATCGACAGTTAACTCGTGGAAGAAAACAAGCACATAATCATGCAGCTTGTGTTTATATTACTTGTCGTACAGAAGGCACTGCACGTATCCTTTAAATTTTAAAAAGAAAAATAAGATCTTATTATAATTATATTTTTAAAATTATTTTTGCTAATTTATGTTTATTTTATTTATGTATAAAATATTTGATTTAATCAAAATATTTAAAATCTTTTTAATATATTTCTATTTTTTTAAATATGATAACTTTTAAAATTAGATTTATACTTAACTAAGTAATTAGATATGCTTATTGACATCAGTGATGTTCTTCAAATTTGTGTTCATGAATTGGGACGCACTTATCTGAAGTTTACACAAGCTCTTTGCATCAATATACCTTCAGTAGGTGAGCATTTTATAAATTTGCATGATATAAACTTTTTTTAGAAAAATCGATATAAAGAAGAGACTTAAATTTTAATGTTTATTTTTATTCTTAATAATTTTAGATAGATTATTGTATAATTATTTTTTATTAAATTCTACTAGTTAAAATAATAATTTTTTGATGAAAATTTTGTGATTTTTTAACTTTATTATTGAACTTAAATTGATATGTTACATTATAAATATATAATAATTAAAACTAAATAATTTAAAATTCTTAAAGTTACATATAAATTTTTATATTTTTTTTATAAAATAAAAAAATTTGATTTAGGATAATTAAATTAATTTGCTTTATTTTTCAAATATAAATTTTTATAAATTATTTTTAACAAACATTAATTAATATTACATTTATTAGTTTTTAAAATAATAAAATTAAACAAATAATTTCTTATATATACTATCATTTTATATTAAATTTAAAAAAATTTAAAAATTTAATCAATAACATTAAAATTTTCAATATATGTTTTGTTTTCAGTTTATTTAGAAATAATGTAATATATCAGTCAATTCTATTATAATAATAATTCAAAAGTATTAGAGTACTTTATGATATATATAATTATAAGATCACTATTTCTATATAAGATTTTGATATTTATTTAGATTTATTGCTTATATAGAAATTTTCAATTATTTTAATATGTAATATATAATATCAAATAATTTTAAATAGCATTAGAAAATTTAGAATAAAAAATGAAACTAAATATCTTACTTTATTAATAATAAACTAGCATAATTTAAATTCAAATTAATTATTCATTTGATTCATTTCATTTTAGTACTATTTTAAAACATATAATTGATATTCATTTTTTTTAAATGCCAATCTTAAACTAATTTATATTCAAA